GCCTTGATCAGGAATCAAACTGGCAGCCTTTCATTGCACAGGAAGATGCACAACTAACTGAACCACTCTGGCCAAGCCATACTATAGTTTTAAACCAAGTCTATATTTTCTTTCTTCCATTAATGTTCACTACTTGTGCATTTATTTTTCCATCTGTTGGCACCAAAGACCTAGAGAAACTTCTGCTTAAAACATAAATATTGCTCAGCCAACATGACTCGGTGGTTGAACATCAACCTATGAACCAGGAAGTCACCATTCAATTCCTGGTCAGGGCATATGCCCAGGTTACGGGCTTCCTCCCCCGTGTGGTGCGTGCAGGAGGCAGCCGATTGATGCTTCTTATCATTGCTGTTTCCATCTCTCTCTCCCTCCTCCCTTCCTCTCTATAATTAATAAAAGTATATATTAAAAAACATAAAATATTGTTTTTATTAAAGAACAACACTTCCATTTTCCTGTTGCTACCATAATTTATAGAAACACAATTTGAGAACCACTGTAAATTACAAAGAAATTATGAGTCATGCAGTGTTTTAGATGTTACGGATTAGAATAAATTAATCCCTATCCCCAGGAGGGTTTCCCCATTTTTCAGGAAAGGTCTGCTTTGTATTTTCTAAAGGCCTGAAATCACTGTGTTTGTGGCTCAGAGACTGGATGGGCATAGGATGGGTATGACAGAGGTCCTTCTTCCTTACGTCCTCACTCTTCTCACTTGAACTCTCTCTCTCTCTCTCTCTCTCTCTCTCTCTCTCTCTCTCTCTCTCTCTCTCTCTCTCTCTCAGCTGCTGGTTTGGGACCCTTAGCCTTCTACCACACCCAGGAGGAATGTACTGGCTTGTGCAGGCATGGGAGACATGAATATGACCTTTACAATTTTGTGTGGCCATCTCTTTACCTTTCTCATTAGAAATAAATTGTTTGCACAGTTAGCAATGCCCATGGACTGAAAGAACTCTGCATTCTTAAGACTATTTCAAAGTGAGGCTCATGGCATTTCTAAATGTGCATCCTGGCTTTCAGAAATCATTTAGAGGACATGTATGCTTTCTTGAGGACATGTATGCTTTTAGAGGACATGTATGCTTTCTTCTTGTAAATAATTATGTCCCCAAATACATCTTTTTTACAAATGACTGAACACTGAGTAAATCTTTCATTCATTAAGATAGCAGGCTTTTTTATTTTATTTTATTGGTTTTTTACAGAGAGGAAGAGAGAGGGATAGAGAGTTAGAAACATCGATGAGAGAGAATCATCAATCAGCTGCCTCTTGCACACCCCCTATTGGGGATGTGCCCACAACCAAGGTACATGCCCTTGACCGGAATAGAACCCAGGACCTTTCAGTCCACAGGCTCTGTCCACTGAGCCAAACCAGTTTCGGCAAGATAGCAGGCTTTTTAATATGGATAATAACTGTCATTTACTAAGGTTATTATATAATAGTCTGCAAACTGCTGCTGAGAAAGTTTAATCTTATGTAATAGATGCCATTGGACCATGGCATTTGATGAATCATGAGTTGGAATTGAGCATCTACCAGTTGTGAAGTTTGTTTTTTTTATTTTTAAACTAAAACAACAACAAAAACACCCCACAAAAAAACAAAAGACTTGCCTGTTTCAAGTTCTTTTTCTTCTATTGTTAACTCTATGGTGGCAAAAACCAGCTTCACCATATTACACAGCAATTGCTATACCATTTATTGTGATAGTTTAGTGGCTGAAATTTCCAAAAGCTGTTTTCAGTGAACAAATGTGTCATTTTGTAACAACTCTATCAGATCCCATTACATGCTCAGAAGAGTCCCTCTATGACAGTGGTTCTCAACCTTTCTAATGCCTTGACCCTTTAATTCAGTTCCTCTTGTTGTGGTGACCCCCAACCATAAGATTATTTTCGTTGCTACTTCATAACTGTAAGTTTGCTACTGTTATGAATCGTAATATAAATATCTGTTTTTTCCGATGGTCTTAGGCTCTACAGCAGTGGTTCTCAACCTGTGGGTCACAACAGGTTAACTGCTAGCAGGATAGCCTAAGACCATTGGAAAACACAGATATTTACATTACGATTCATAACAGTAGCAAACTTACAGTTATGAAGTAGCAACAAAAATAATCTTATGGTTGGGGGTCACCACAACACGAGGAACTGAATTAAAGGGTCAAGGCATTAGAAAGGTTGAGAACCACTGCTCTATGAAGATCTGGGGGAAGAGCCTTGTGGGACAGCAAAGTTGAAGGTTTAGACAGGGAACCAGCATTATGTGTTAAAGAAACAGAAGGCTAGAGAGGCTGGAGTATAGGGGACAAGGATGGGCATGATAGGAGGTGGAGCCAGGGAGGCTGGCAGGATTCAAACACTGTAATGTGTTGTAGACCATTATAAAGAGTCTGGAATTTTTTCTATGGGCAGTGGAGTACCACTGAAGGTTTCTAACAGGTATATTCAGATCTGTAGTCACCAGCTTTAAATGTTCCCGGCTGAAAGGTTTCTTTTATATTGAAATAATTCTTCTTTGTATTTTATAGAATAGACCAGAGGGCTGCCATTTTGCCAAAGGATGCTTTTGAAACTCGGCGGGACTTAAATGAGGTAGGTGCAATCATTGTTTGCAGAAACACGAATTAGCCAATTATGAGAGCTATTACTTTTTCCTAAACCTAGGAATTCTCTCTGATGAAAAACAATTTTAAGTATTTTTGCTCTTAAGCGAACTTGTTTCCTTTGTCCTTAGGATAATGTTTTTCCTTGCTCTGGAGCAGACACATTTAAAATATTATTTGCAGGCTGCTCACCATGTCTTGGACCTGAACCAAGTCCAGCAGTCATTTCATTGCACACTTTCCCACTTTGCTTCAGGATTGCATAGCCATGGCTCTGACCCTTACATTTGTAAAATTTTTCTCTTAATTCGATTTCATCTCTCCTTTTATTCTAACAGCTTTTGCAGTCTCAGATATAATCATGCTTGCTATTTATCCATGGAACATGAGTTAGTGTGGTGCTGGCAACACAGCCTTAGTGTGTTTTGAGACAATGAAGCCATCTTTTCCAACCCAAATGGTTTCCCACCAAACTGGACATCACAGTGTTATTAAGCTTGTTTTGATTTTCTTTGAAATGTATAATATAATTCTATTGGAAATCAATATAATAAAAGTGGGATTTCTGTTATGAATGCCTTGGCTTATGACATTGGTGTGTAATACTGCCTAGTTGTTTTTGTCCTCATTGTATAATTAAGGAGCAGTGGGTGGTATATCTGATTAGGATCATAACAAAAATAATGAAAAGATTTGATGTTCAAATGCCAGAAAGAGAAAGAATGCGCTTTAGGCAAATTTTTTATTTGTCATTTGAAGATGCATCTCTCTTACCCTTTCAAAAAAGGAAGAAGTAATGAACTGACATTAGGTGATATTTTTAAAATGTAGAACTTGGTTGAAATGAATAGCTCAAGGTAAACTAGCTGCCTGATTGAATCAAGTTAAATAAATTGCTAAAGGTGTGGAAATCTCCTAAAGATAACAATACAGAACACTGCTTGCTATTTCTTTGTGCCCAGAGACAGCCTTCAAACTTCACAATCTTATACATGGTAGCAAGAGTGGAAAAGAATTTAAGAGAAAAGAGGCAAGAATCTGAATCAGTGAACACACCATTTTGCCCCACTGTGAACAAGCAAAGTGCTGGTTGTAAAGAAGTGATGATTTGCTTTGACACAAATGACTAGAAAAATGAGATGGTAGTAAGAGTTAACTTGTGATAGGTTTCCAGTATTTGGGAGAAACTGGTTTGTGAGCTGGAAACTCATGAAACTACCGTATTTTCTGGCGTATAAGATGACCCCCTAATTTTACAGTTAAAACATAGGTTTAGGCCTATATTCGCTGTATAAGACTACCCCCCACTTCCAAGGCAACACCAGTTCTTTTTTTAATAGACCGCCTCTCTGACTCTGGCCAATCTGAGCAGGCTTTTTACTAGAACACAGTGTACATGTTCTGTACCCAAAGCTACACTGTGTTCTACATCTATGTTAAAACATAGGTTTATGCCTATATACAGCGAATATAGGCCTAAACCTATGTTTTAACTGTAAAATTAGGGGTCGTCTTATACGCCACAAAACACGGTACTTGATAATTGCAAAAAGCTCTATTTGAAAATAGGATTTTCTGTATTGCTTCACTGTTGTATTTGCAAATTACATGGTATGTGCCAGCTCATTGCTCTAGCATTCCATGGGTGCAAGAATGCTAAATGGAGACATGCAGCCAAAGGAGCAGTCAGTGCCATGTTTTAAATGAGCACTCTTTCATGAAAAGGGGGTGATGCTGATCCAGACAGATCAATAACAGTGAGTGTGTGCTCAGACTGGCTTTGTTCCAATTGGGGTAAATTGTGTGTGCAGGCCCTCATCATTTCATGAAGTTTCTGTTGTAGCTGAAATTTGAGGAAACTTTAGAAAAGCTTGTAGAAGGCATCATAAGTGGGTCCAGACCATGTGTTCAGACTTATTAATGGAGACCTCCTATACAGTAGAGGTCTGTATTTAACTGCATCTTTCCCACCATTTCCCAAATTTAACGGAAACCACTCTTTTATGAAAGTATCACATAATAACTTTTTTTTTTTTAGGCATCCAAGTCCTATAGGATACAGGTGGGAAATACTGCTTTAATATTTTTAATGGAAATAGAAAAGACATAGAAGTGTGTATACTGTAAGTCCCAGCTAGATGAATTCTCACAAAGTATGTAACAAGTCCCTAGGTCAAGAAATGGAACGTATTAGCATCCCAGACAGCCCTTTGTAGTTCCTTCCATTCACTACTCTCCTATCAGGATAATTGCTCTTCCCACTTACATAGATTTGTTTTGTTTATTTTTGAGCTTTTTAGAAACAGACTCTGTGTACTCTTTTGTGTGGTTTCATTTACTCAGTATTATGTTTGTGAGAATTGTAAGTGTTTGGCATGTACTTTTAGTTTTTATTCTCCTTGCTGTAGCTCCTTGTATTGTTGTTTCCAATTTTTGACAATTATGATCAGTTGTTATTGATTGTAGTTTTATTTTGTTTTTTTCATTAACTGTCTCTTTGCATGGCTGATTTTTTATCAGAGTATTCCTTCCATCTCTAAATGGAAATGTAAGGGAGAATTATTTCTTTTGTTAGCTCTCTTCATTGTTTTTTATTCCTTTCATTTCTTTACCCCCACCCCCAGATTTCCATTTCTCTAAAAGGAACCCACTAGTTCCATATTTTCTCTCTTCTCCACTCCAACTTGCAAGTCTAAAGCCAAAAGAGTTTCTTGAGCCTCTCATGAAGCATGGTCCCAAAATATTTTCCAGACCCTAAATAATAATGGTTTGAAATCTTACATATGTGTCTTATACTTTCCCAAAATTTCACTCTGTATTTCATTTCTACCTTCTGAACAATAGATAGAGCTCAGCTTAGTTTGGTTCCAGAGCTGGTACTTAACCCCAAGGTCTCCTCTACTCAGTAACATTGATACATGGTGTGGCATATCTACCAATGAGCATCTGACTTTATCTGTGATCCCCATATTTTCCCAGTGAACTAAAAAACTCACTTCTTGTTTTCACTTGGCTTGTGCATAGATTCAATTTCTGCTTGTCTCTTGTTTCTTCTGCTAGTCTCAAGCATCCAGTTTTTGACCTTGGGTACCTTAATAGAACTTGTGTCTCTATTTGATGAGATTTACTATCTCTGGGATTATGTTATAGGAATTGGTTTCTGAAAAACTGCCATTGACCTGAGCTGTCAGACACTGCCTCTGTGAGGTATCAGGAGATTTTATTTGCGGTATCTCCTAGATCCTGAATGAAAAATATTCTAGACTTGAGATCTGTTAATGTCTCATCCACCTTAATCCCTGGTTTTAGTTATTTCCCCAAGTCCATGTAAATTGATAGCATTTGATAGATCAAAAAGTTATTGAAGGACAAAATGAAAGAAATAAAATTGTTGTCCCTTTCCACATACTAATAGATACCATTCCTAGTTTCAGTTCCAAGTAAGAAAATCAACAGATGTATAAAGAAAATTAATGGATCTTCCATATTCTGAGAAATCTTGTCTCAGTACTTTTCCACCTCCCAGACTGCATTTTATAAAGCACCATTATCAGCTCCTTTTAGTTTTTCATTTGTAAAGTTGGGGCAAGAACTTTCGAATTGGGTTAACTCTAGGAGTCCTTTCAGTTTGCACACTTATGACCTCCCCCCAATCCTTCCCTCCATTTTCCCAGTGCTTATAGAATTTAGTCATAGGTTTCCATCAGGGGTGGAATGAGATGAGTTCCCCATGGTTACTCTGGGGCAAGGCCTCTTCAAGGGCAGCCACTGAGGCCAGTTTTGAGGATTGAATACTATTGTAAATAGTACTATAAAAGTGAAATATGTGCTTGACATTTATCAGTCGAGAGAGAGAGAGAGAGAGAGAGAGAGAGAGAGAGAGAGAGAGAGAGAGAGAGAGGGAGAAAGAGGGAGAGAGAGAGAGCCTATGTGATCCTAAGTGAAGAATTAAAGCTGATTGGGGGCCTGAAACAGTAGACCCTTCCTAAGGAACAGACTGGAGCTTTGGATCAATTTGGACCTTCTGTCTAGTTCTGCCATTATACTTGCCCAACTCTTATGTCATCATCGTACGGAAGGAAATGGGCACATTTTTTAACTGATAAATAGTTTGAAGGTATTCTGCACTTAACCTTTGCTGTGTGAATAAGAGTTTGTTTCCATTCTCATTTTACCTGGAATTTTAACGATCCTAGAGGTAAGGTCAGCCACAAGGCAACTGGCCCTAAAAGACAAATTTGGTTTTGGTTGCCCTTCTATAGATTTCTTCTTTCCTTTCCTTTGGAGGCTTGCTGGCTATGAAACTGTCTTATGCTGACATAGACCAGTCTATAGTTTATCCTCTCTAGGCCTAAGGAGTCAGTTTATAAATAATATTTTAAAAAAAGTTTGCAATGGCTTAATAAGTTTAAGAGGAGGTATGTCAAGCACAATGAAATGGGAAAATGAACAAAAGCTACACCAGTCTTTTGCTCAGAATAAGCCTTATAATGTGAGGATTTCAAAGTAGCTAATTATTAAGGGGATAATTGAGGGAAATACTTTTGGGTGATGTGTGTGTGTGTGTCCATCCCCGAAATCAAACTATGGAGATGTATGGTTCTCACTAACTAACAAAGACTCTAAATAAAATGCTTAATCATTAGAACAGAGAAGTCTAGAACTTTACCATAATTAAGAGGATAGAATAAGTTTACTTTCAGGGTTGAGAGGAAAAGAGAAAATAGATAGAGGTTGTTCTTAGAAGGTTTGAGATCCTGGAAGTTTATGTCAACCTATTGAAATGGCCAGCCATAATTAAGTGGAAATGGTGTTATAATTGAAGGGACTGAGGAATTATGGGACCAGTTATTAGCATGTTTATGAGTCTGATGTTAAAGTAACTGAATGTAGAAAGGGCCACTGATGATGGGGAAGAAACCAACCTAAATGGCAGTCATTGCATCATATGCATCCAGGTCATGGAATTGGAGAAGACATTGCCTTTTATAGGGGACAAAACTGTTGGACTTAGCAGTGAGGGTCAAAAGAGTAATGCTAGCCCATCCTTCTCACCCTGCTACCACCTATCTAACTCTGTGAGGTGGGGAATAGGAAAAGGAAATGGTTGCTGAAGTTGGAGAAAATTCTAGTTCTATTGCTCCTTCAAGAGAAAACTTGGCATAGAAACACGTTTTCTCTTGGTAACCAACAAATGCTCAATAATGATGTAACATCAATAACAAGTTAAACCTTTAATTTTTCATCATGGTTCTTATACTATGAAGGGGACATGTGTTTTTATTTAGGTGGCTATGAAAGAATTATTTACCTAAAATCAATATGAAAAATTTACTTTCCTTCACATGCTACTATTACCCCTTATTTTTTGAAATATGCTGATCAAAATAGCTCAACATTAGCCTTAATATTAAAAATATCTTCCTCTTTAAAGTTTATGAAGAATCCTTTAAAATTTAATTTTATTAAAAATAGACCAATTTACATATTTCTGGTGCACCCCCCTTTGAGCCTATATGCATGTGTCTATGTGTGTCTCCATGTGATGGATGTGATTGTCTTTTTATTACCAGGCATGGTTTTAGCATATATTTTGGCACCTGGCCATATTACATTTCAAGATGATTCTTGCTATTTGGTTAAAGAATGTGTTTCTCCCTCAAAATTGTTTTAATTTTTTTTTTTAAATAAAAGATCCCGCAAAAGCTTTTTTAGTCCTTTGATAGTCCTGAGTATGCTGAAAGGTATTATTTCTATAGACTAGGCAGCTGTATTTTTCTATTGAAATGCAAACCCAGGCTATATGGTTAGGCCTTTGTTTAGGATTGATTGAGGATTCTTTTTTTTCCCTGAATAAGGGATTTTTTTCCCTTGAGACTAAAAGTAAAGTCACCCTGGCTTTAATAAATGACAGGATATTGTTGACTCACACAGCTGAAACTTTAGGATTGGAATAGGCTCCATGCATGGCTAGATACAGGGATTAAAGACTTGTATAGATGCCATCTGTGGACCCTGCTGCCCTATATTGACTTTATCTTTAGGTCAACCTCTCTCTAGGGACACATTATTCTTACTGCTGGTAATTCCAGTGTGTATTAGTTTTTCTATCGGTGTAACAAATTACAAAAAAAAAAAAAAAATTTAGAAGCTACAAACACCCATTTATCAGTTCACAGTAATATAGGTCATAAACCTGAGCAGACTCCATTAGAGTCTTTGTTCAAGGTCGCACAAGACTGAAAGGCATTGGCTGCAATGGCCTATTATCTGGAGGTTGGGAGAAGAATCCATGTCCAAGCCCATTCAGGTTGTTGCCTGAATGTATTTCCTTGAAGTTGTAGAGTGTGGTCCCCATTTCCTTGTTGGTCATCAGCTGGAGGCATCTCTCAGCTTCTAGAGGTTGCCCGTATTCTTCCTCACATGGATCATTTCGCCTGTGGGCCAGCAACACTAAATCCTTCTGTGCTCTGAATCTCTCAGATGCTGTCTAGTTTCCACCAACTGGAAGGAACACTCTGCTTTTAAAGGGTTTGCCTGATTGGGTCAGGCCCACTCAAATTACATCTGTATCCGTGGCCAATTGAGTTAGAGCTTCAATTATTTCTGCAAAATCCCTTTATGGCAGCACCTACTAATGTTTGATTTAATGCCTGGGTATAGGTATCTTGGGGGATATCTCTAGGATTCTGCCTGCTATACAGTGGAAGTCCTTCTTTCTATTATAGCTTTGAAAAGTTCCATAGATGAGTTTCATTTTTCTGGCTTGTGGAATATAGCCCTTTTTTGACCCAGTCACCATGATCATGGGGTTTGGCTAGATTGGCTAGATGTAAACCACACTTCCCACTTTGGTTCTGGGAGTGCTGTTATCAGAAGGTGAATGAATGAATGCTGTGCTTCATAATACTGGTCTCTGGAAACAAAATATCCAAGGTAATTTTCCTGTCTGCTGGACCACTGCAGGATGCCATTTGGCATTTTGTTCTGGTGTAGTTTTCTGAGCTGAGATAATGTGACCTTGCTTTCCTACTAATATTTCTTACTCAGCTGGAAGCTGAAATGGTGTCCTATGATTCATTTAGTTTAAGCCAAGTTTTTTTGCCACTGTTCGTGAGGACATCCCATAGCCAATGCGGTAATGGTGTGAACCCTACCTAGTTTTAATTTTGATTGAATGAACTGCACAGCAAATAAACTCTTGAGCTGTTTCCAGGCTTGGTTTATTCTGACCCATCATTCAGAGGCACCTATCCAGTCTGGCTTCTTATTTCCAGGGGAGTCAGGTCTGTAGGACTCTTGTCCAGGGAATCTTTAGATTGGTATTGGCAGAAAAGGCACAAGCCATGCCAGTAGCTGCCCATATTTTTCCTTGTCTGAGAATTAACTTGGAGAAATTTGAGAGGTGTTGGGCTGGACAGAGAAGTTGTGGCAAGACTTAACCAATGCTGACCCACCTGTGCTTGCCTTTGCCTACCAGCTTTCCCCTGGTCCCTCACTCTGCTGTAGCTTTGTTCTGTAGGCCTCTGCTCTTTCTTGTATGGCATCTCAATCCTTTTCCTTGTCTCTCAGTCTGTCATTTAATCTTCTTCACCCTATTCTTTCATTTAATCTTCTTCAAACTAATTTTTTTCCACCCTCATGGAAGGCTGGAAGCAGTTGTATCTAGTGGGTCCCAGGAGTCAGCCTGTGTTGTAGTTAAAGGAGAAAAGAACCATGTAGTGAGTTTTCCATGAAGCTAATGTCTACTAAAAACTCTTCAATTTAGAGATTGTTCTTAAAAATGTCATTGTGTAATGAAATGGAGGGTTTTTTTTTTATTATTTGTTTATTTTCCTACATGTTGTCACTTAGCAAAATAGAAAGCTGACAGGTTTTGTAATATACTAGAGGCCTGGTGCATGAAATTCATGCACTCGTGCGGGAGGGGAGCGGGGAGAGGGGGAGGAGAGGGGCCCTCAGCCGGCCTGCACCCTCTGGCAGTCCAGGAACCCTCAGGAGATGTCTGACTGACAGCTTAGGTTTGCACTGCCACAGAGGCGGGAGAAAGTCCCACCACCACTGCTGCACTCAGCAGCCATGAGCCTGGCTTCTGGCTGAGCGGTGCTCCTCCAGTGAGAGTGCACTGACCATCAGGGGACAGCTCCTTCATTGAGCAGGATCAGGTCGAACCTGATTCTCTGAGGGGTCCCGGATTGTGAGAGGGTGCACACCAGGCTGAGGGACCCCACTGGTTCACAATTGAGGCATGGAAGGGATGCGGGAGTTTGGCCAACTGGGGAGGGACCTTGGGAAGGAATATAGGAGGGCTCCAGGGCATGTGTGACCTGTCCACTCAGTTCCAATCAGCCGGAACCCAGTAGCTAACCTACCGGTCAAAGCATCTGCCCCCTGGTGGTTAGTGCATATCATAGCGACTGGTTGACCAGTTGACTGTCTGCCCCCTGGTGGTCAGTGCATGTCATAGCAAGCAGTTGAGTGGCCTTAGCATATCATTAGCATGTTATACTTTGATTGGTTGAGCGGATGATCAAACAACCAGACACTTAGCATATTAGGCTTTTATTATATAGGATTCTGCACCCCCAACCCCTGCTAGCTTTTAAAAAATATTTCTGCCAGTCACAAGACCAAAATTTTACCTGAAAACTGATTCTTTGAATATTTTTTTCCTGAGAAGTAATTGATTTTTTCAACATTACTTACAGAGAAGCAACTATGGACCCAACTCCAGGTTTGGTGCTGGGGTGGGGTGTGTAGGGACTGTAATAGAAGAATTAAACTTGTCATCCTTGCTTTTCAGGGATTTATAGTGAGTGACTATAACTCAGCTCATATGCCAGAGCCTGGCCTTGCTCATGTTGGTATCTTTTACCCTTTTTAGGACGCTGCTGGTTTCCTTAGAGCTATAATACTCAGATTTTTAGGCAAGCAAAAACTTAATTTTTTTTGCTCTCTAACAAAAATACTACCGTGTTTCCCCGAAAATAAGACATCCTTCGAAAATAAGACTTACTTACAGGTTCCCTTCTGAGTGAAATATAAGGCATCCCCCCGAAAATAAGGCCCCCTCTAGGCTAAACATGAGAGATTTGGTCCACTGATTCTGAAAGAGATAGAGTCACAAGAAATTCACCAGGAAATTCACGAATTGGATTGTTATGATGATGTTCCAGAAGATGATGACATGATTGTCATTGAATAAATGAGTAAATTCTTGATACTGTAGGATTCACAGTTTGTCTGGTTTGTGTTGACAACTACTGTACTACCGTAACATATACAGGTAATAAATTTTCTTTATTTTCATTTAACAATAAATGTGTACCATATTCTTCTTCATGGAAAAATAAGACATCCCTGAAAATAAGTCCTAGCGCATCTTTGGGAGCAAAAATTAATATAAGACACTGTCTTGTTTTCAGGGTAGTGTTTGAGAGACTGGTTGATGCTTTCCAGTGTGATCTGCCATCTTTAGAGTCATAAGTAGGTACTTTATTTCATTTTCCAGTGGGATGGTTATTAATTTCTAATATCTATTCAATTTTAGAACTTACAGTAGTCTCATGAGAGAAAATAAAAGGCCTACAGGCCAGCATACTTGGATGGTTTTCAACACAAAATGAGCCAATGGTTGGGATTCAAAGCCCCATGGACCCTCTACTAGTAATGTACAAACATTTTATTAAATGTAGTTTTTAAGCAAAATACCGTAATATTCAGGACTAAAAAGAAAAGAAACTTAAGTAACCAAAAATAATAATTATATGTGCTACAACACAGACTAGATTAGTGCACTTAGCCTATAGGGTATAATTGATGTTCTGGAAAGAAATGATTTGTTAGGGGTTTGTCTTAATATCTGTGCTTTTGGATAATTTAAGTACTAAAACTCCAGAGAGAAACAATTAACACATTAAGTGCCCAGTCAGTCACCAGTGACTGACACTATGCTTTCCATCCGAAAGCAAAAACAGGCTGGGCACTTAACATGTTAAAGCCCATTCTATGAGTCAATATGGGACACATTCTACTCTTAGAAAATCAAGGTCTTATTTAGAAACTCAGAGTCCTGAATTAGATAGTTTTGTGTTAACAAAACTATTATTTTCTCTCAAACATCCTGCTTATTTAATAAAGCGAACAGAGTGAGGATAGCACGATGAGGCAGAGCTAAGCACAGGTTGAAATCATTTGGTTTTGGTTATAGTGTGTTGTGGGGGTATTGTTTTTCTGTAAGTACTGCTAGCACTACATTAAGACCTGCATCTTCTTATCAACAGAGGCTACTTGAAGTGACAGCTTGTTCTTTTACATTGAGTTTCTCCTTTGGGTATTACAGAACCAACCCACGCAGAGGAAACTGGGATGGGTTGAGTCAGATGTGACATCCTTCAGTTAGAATTGGCTGCAAAGTATGCTGGGACATAAGCAACTCCAGGAGAGATTCGAGCAGGAGGCAAATGAGGATGCCAGGGAGCTGAGGGTCAGGGAAAAGATATTGTTCCTGGGAAAGGTAGAGCTAAGCAGGCAAGCAAGGCAATATTTTGGTGGGCCAAGGCCCTAGGGATTAGCAAAATATTTCTCAAAAGTGCAGACCTTGGACTTTTGCACCAAAATGACCCTGCCCCACCCCCACAGAATCCAAGTCTCTGGGATGATTCCTGGCTGGGAGTGCACATCTTTAACAAACTCCTCAGTGACTTATACATGTATTTAAATATACAAACTACGGCAGCAGGGGTCTTGAATTTGGTTATTCCGAAGAGCCTCCAAGTATTGCCTAAAGGGTCCAGCAAAACAAACTGATACACAGTGGCAGTCTCTCTATTGGTTGCCTCCTGTCCTACTCATTGTGCTGGGTTCAGCAGTGAACAATGGGGGCATGGGTCCAGCCCTTCTGGAGCTGGAAAGAGCCAATAAACAAGTAGGCGAATGAAAGTGACTTATTGTAGTGAACATGAGGGAGGAAATAAACAAGGCAGTAACAAAGAAATGGGGGCCCTGTTTAGATAAGGTAATCAGCACTGGCTCTAGAATTTGATGGAAATTTGACTGTGAAGCAGTGACAGCTGAATTGGGCCTGGGGAGGTGGGGGCAGGGAGGAGGTTGAAAGGAAGGGTGTGTGTGTGTATGTGTGTGAGTATGCACAGAAAACATAAAAACTAAGGGAAGAAAAGTGGTAAATAGACATGGAGAAATTCAGGGACCAAGTTATATTCCCAAATTTGAGCAGATTTCCAATTTGAGTTTGCTTCCTATCACCATAGAGAATCTATATATGGTTCTTTGATAGATAAAGGGATGGGAGAGGGCCACTAAACCTCTTCATAGAAATGAAAAGTTGACCCTGCTTTGCAACTGGTGAATTGCAGACCGGGGTACCCAAAAATAGCATTTAACCATCAGCCTGTGTGGGTGCTCTCCATTTCAACCCAATTAAAGTGGGACCTGGTAATTGTAGAGGAGAGAAAATGAGTGGAGTATTTTCTAAAACAAGCAGCATATTTTCCATTATATAAAAGAGAAAAAGTAGCTTTTAGAAAACCACACCTAGGTTATGTGGACCGCTCTTTCGTAACCAGATGGGAACGTTGGAGAAGCAGAGATACTTGTTGCTCTTTAGACTAGGATCCATCAACCTTTGCTCACTTTCCCTGCAGATTCTAGAAAACCATTTAGGGAGACATTGCCGCTAAACCTGGAAATGCAGTAGCAGGCTTGGCCCCAGGGATGGGCTGGTGATAGCCTCACAGGGAGTGGAGGTACTAGAAAGAGAAGAGCTAGAACGAGGTTGCATTAGGACCACAGGGATTTACTGCCCTTGGTTTTTCTGTAGGGGGAAACCATATTCATGCATGAAAGGTCGAGAAGTCAGTCATGATCTTGGAGCTGCTTACTCGTCTTTCCCTGGGTTTACCATCTCTTTCCTGCATAGCCCTGTGACGCTAATAACTGTCCTTATAATTTGATTCATTCGCCTGTGTATTAACTGTCTTCCCACTAGACTGTAAGTCCCAGAAGGAAGGGGCTGACATCAGTTTCATACTCCACAGCCAAGTGCAGCTCTCTGTACTTTGGAAGCTGTCAGAGGGAGGGAGCAGTGTGCTGGTATGATATCTGCAGGGGCATGGCCCTTGCCTGCATGGTACACAGTGCCCATGGGCCTTCTCACCGGTGGCTCTTTGTGGTTCAACCCTGATGACATGAGTTCCTCACCCATTAGCAGAATATGACTGTGACAGGGGCATGGATTGCTCATAGGTAAAGACTCCTGTCCTGGGATCTTTGGTTATCAGGAGAGATATCCCTTTATGACCCCATCCCATACAGAGTATTCGAGTCCCCATCTTTTGTCTGCTGAGAAACAGGCTGTTCTCAGGTCATAGGTCATAGGTGTGGTGAAGGAGATCATCAGTAACAGGTGGTCTGCAGAGTTTCTTCCATCTTGTCCTCAATGCATCGCAGTTAATGTTTAGCCTTCTATGTGGAGTCTTGTCCCTTGAGTCCCTCATCTTCTCTCTCCTGTTCTAGTTGACTTTTTTTTTTTTACCCTTCCCCATTCTTTTAAGCTTACTACTATTTAGTATCTCAGAGGAATAAACCAGGTAGGTAAACATCTCCTTTGAAGCTTAGAGTCTCATTTCTGCTTCCATATGAGTACAGGGAAAGGGGTGGGGGAAGGGGGAGGAAGATGGGTAATAGCCCCATTACTACTTTTAGCCATCATATAGTCTTCACATTATTTCTTACTCTCTGTGGGAGTTTAGAGTCTTCTGAATGTGAGCTGACATACTACTATATAGTGAATTATTTGCTGTTTGTTTATGTTGCATGAATAGTTGGTTCAGTTCCACAAACACTGCCTAAGCACTGATTCCATGCCAGACTCTGCTTCATCTTCAGGATAGGTGCACGTTTGTCTCTCTCTCCTCTGAAGCTGGAAGAATATTTAGAAGGCACCTAATCTTGGCTCCTTACTAGACAGATGCTGAAAGTAAGGCCCCGGGAGGTAAAGGGATGAGTCAAGGCCTTTTAGTTGGAGCAGAACTTGGCTCTGCCCAGCACTTCTGGGTTTTGGAGATACTCGTATGTATAATAACCACCGAGTCCAGTACTTGAGAGTTTGACAAACACTGGTGTTGTGCAAAGTGTTCTCCATGCTTGCCCTCATTTAATTATTAGAGCAAGTGCTCTTGTCACTGTTGTTATTACATCTTTTTACAGATGAAGAAATAAGGCTTAAAATAGCCAAGATGCATTCCCACAGTCAGACGCATAGTATGTAGGAGAACTGACAGGGCCTCTGGCTCTGTGTGAAGGTCATGTCCTCTTCTGCTTTGTATACAGGAGCAACTGGAGTTTATGAGAGGCGGCTCAGTTGGTTCAGTTTGTTCTACATCCTCCCTCTAATTGTAGGGAGGGACTGGTCCATATATATATATATATATATATATATATATATATATATATATATTTACCATTTCAACTTTTTAAAAAATATTTTTATTAATTTTAGAGAGAGAAAGAGAGAAAAACATGTAAACATCAATAATGAGAGAGAATCATCTATTGGCTGCCGCCTGCATGCCCTCTAGTAGGGATCCAGCCCACAACCTGTGGGCATGAGCTCCAACTAAGAATCGAACTATGACCTGGTTCATAGGATGATACTCAACTACTGAGCCACACCCATCAGGCCCATTTAACTATTTTAAGTACATAATTCAGTAGTCTTAAGTAATTCATCTTGTTGTGTACCCATCATCACCATCTATCTCCAGAGTTTTATTCATCTTTCCAATCTGAAACTGTATGCTACCTTGTCATTATGCCCTAATATGGCCTTCTGCGCCTGTGCTTCCCTGGTGTCTCTGTCTCTCTGTCTCTGTGGGTCTGTCTCTCTCTTCAGTCATACTGAACTCTTAGGACCTCATTCTACTTTAGTTCCCTCTTTAAAGACCCCATCTACAAATGCAGTCACGTGGGGGTTAGAGCCTCAGCATATGAACTTAGGAGAGACATAACTCAGTCTATAATATAGCTCTTGGCTATTGTGAATAATGTTGCTATAAATAGCGGTGTACACATGTTTGTTTGAGTCTCTGCTTTTAATACTTTTTGGGTCTATAGCCAGCAGTGGAATTGCTGGATCATGTAATAATTCTATTTTTAATTTTTTGTTTTTTGTTTTTTTTCCTACTGTATCAGCTACACCATTTTACATTCTCGTGGCATTATTTCTTAATTTTTCTTAACTAATGAATAATTTTGCTCTGTTTTTAGAGGTCACTCTGATAGCCACGGTCCTCCAGTAGGGAGCTAGCTAGCCTGAAACCGTTTTTTTTTTGTTTTGTTTTTTGCCTCTCAGATGATTGGTTACTAAATCTTTCTAGAAACTTGGTGCCCTTTTCCTCCTGCTGTATGTCCTGTCAGCAACCTTGGGCTCTTGCTTCCATACTTAGCTGCTGGGAAAACATCCCAGAAAGGAGGGGGAAGCAGTGCAAACTGGCCTGGTCTCAGTTAGATGCTTTATCCGAGCTGTGGGCCTTTGGGCAGTAGGCCTTGAGCACAGCGGGGGTTTGTACCCGGCCTCACCCCATCTCTGAGCATGAAGAGAGGGGACCCTGAGCTTGCTCAGGCACTTGCCACCTTCACAATGGCCAAGAGATAATAGATTAAGATGTTCCCAAATAAGCAGCTTTAACACTGCTGTAGGTTCATATCGACTCATGGTAATAGAAAGAATTAGAGTGTGTGTGTGGGGGGAGAGTGGGTGTGTATGGAGGGAGGGCTTGCGGTGTGAGGAGATGTTGGGGGTAGGTGTTTATGTGATGCAGAATGTGAGGATGTGTATGAGGGGAAAGGATGTGTGATGTGTATATAAATTAGGGTGTGAGAGTGGGGGTTAGGTATGAGGGTGTGTGGTAGGTAGTGTGTGCATAAGGTAAGGTGTATGTGTGTAGAATAGGGGACAGAAGGGATGACTCTGAGAAAGGAATGAGTATGTATATGGAGTGGATATGAGGTATTTGGGTGTTAAAATACTTGGTTGAGTAGGCAGATGGAGATAAAGCTATGTATAGGCTGGGAATGGGGATATGCAGGAATAGGATATGGAGGTGAGGCAGATGGGGGCGGAGGGTGGGGAATAGGGTATGTGGATGGTGGGGTGTGAGTTGTGTGTGTGTGTGTGTGTGTGTGTGTGTGTGTGTGTGTGTGTTGGAGGGTCGTAGTAAAGAAAGGACTGGTGGCTCCATTCCAGGTAGCTGCTCCTGCCAGGAGCCTGGTGGGTGGAGGAGCTGCTGAGGCCTGCAGAGCTTCCCAGCTGCGGGGGAGTCGTGCCTTGCTGGGGACTCAGGCGTGACTCACTTTCACCTGGTTGGAATTAATTTGCTGGGCATCTGCATCATGGCAGGAATGTGCGTCAGCCTGTATGACTTTGTTCTTTTTAAGAACCAATTGTGCTGGGAGCTATGAAAGATAAATTGCTTCTCCTTGGCCCACACTGAATGACCAAGATCATTTTCCTCACTCCACCTATTCTGTTCTTGATCAAAGGCCACTGCAAACATTCCAAGTGAGAGAAGTAACTTCAGGAGACACGCACACACACACGTACACACACACTCACAAGCACACAACCCCCACATACAAATGTAGATAAGGGAGCCCCAGAGCAGCTCTCAGATGCCAGGTGGCCTCTGCAGCAGTAACTGTGTGCACTGCGGTCTGCTGCAGTCTTTGCGGTGTAGGGATGCTGGCTTTTGTGAATGGTAGCTTGGGAGGGGCCAATGTCATCTGCTCCTGATGTCAGCACAATGAATGAAACACTTGCAGAACGTAAAGCCTCCAGCACCCGGGAAGCAGACACCTTCTCAGATTGGTTTTCTGGCTGCAGCGTCTCTTGCTGACGAAATCACTAGTCCCATGTGTCCCTGATAACCCACGTACGTTAGGTTTTAAATTAGGCAGGAACTGAGGCTGCATGAGGACTAATGCAAGCTGATTCTGGCACAGCCACCTCTGCCTGAAGCAGCTGTGCCCACCACCCTCTTCCTGGCACGCACTGGAGGAGGCTGTTTACAAGATCTGCAGACCCACTGTTGTGCGTTAGCCATCTACTTAGCTAGCCCGATGTTCTGCTTTTGCTGGCAGAATTCCTTGCTGAAGCTCCAAGCCCTCGAAACTGATCTGTGCTCTGCGTTTTTGACAAACCAGGAA